GAAAGGAAAGGAAAGGAAAGGAAAGGAAAGGAAAGGAAAGGAAAGGAAAGGAAAGGAAAGGAAAGGAAAGGAAAGGAAAGGAGGAAGGAAGGAAGGAAGGGAGAAAAAAAGAAAGGAAGGAAGAAAGAAAGAGAGAAAAAAGGAAGCACAGGTGGGCCATGTGCCTCTCCCAAGGTCACACAGCTCCCTGAGGAGTTGCCCACCATGTGGGCTGAGCCAGCACACACACAGGCAGTCACAGATGAGGGCCACTGGGTGTCAAGGAGGGTCAGCCAAGCCACAGCGCATGGGGCAGGGCTGGCTGGAAGTTGCAGGGAGCTGGAAGACCTCTGCTCCGGCAGGGAGGGCCAGTGCTCAGGTTAAATCCGGGGTCCCTATCTTGTGGTGCACACAGGAAGTGGCTCCTGAGCTCTGCCGAAGTCTGAGCTCTACCTCCCCCAGGAGCCCGAGTAGCAGGCATTAGGAGACTTGGACAGCAGCCCCTGCCACAAGGCTGACCCCGAGAGAGGACGGGACAGGCACAGCTAGTTGGAAACTCTCTGGACCCCCTGAGCTGTGTGACCATGAAAAACACCCCTGACGCCACCTGATCACAGCACCACAGTCCGCCTCCACCAGGTTGCTGCCCTGATTGATTGCTGGGGTGACATAGGAAGAGGTGGACAGAGTTTGGCACATACTGTCTGCAGGAAATGGCACCTTCCCTTTATCCTTCCCTCACCAGGGCAGAGAAATCACAGGTGGGCAGAGCTGGGTGGGAACCCAGGACGCCTGACTCCGAGACAGGTTTGTCCTCCCTGGAGGAGACACAGCCTGCTGCGCCCGCAGAGCCAGGCACAGTGTTTGTTCTGGTGCTCGCGGGCCCACCCAGCCACTCTGTGGGCTCCTCTCGGGATGGCCCTGGGGTACGATGCAGACAGGCACGGCCCCTCCCCCAGACACCCTCTGGCTGGAGAGGAGGAAGGGGGCAGGAAGCGCTGAGAATGCCCGTGCCGCCTCCTGTCACCTGAACTTCCTTCCTGCAGGAAGCCTTCCTTGTCCTCTGCCGTCTGGGCAGACAGTGAGCCTCCTGCCTCTGAGCCCCCTTCCACACCCTGGTGACGTATCCTGGATGCCCCACATGACAACTGTCAGGTCACAAAAGGCAGGTGAGTGTGGCGGTACGGACTTTATGGTGTCTACCAACAGAGAATGGGATAAGACACCACAGCCTTCAAAAGGAAGGGACTTCTTTTTTTGTTTTGCTTTGTTTTTGTTTTTGTTTTCTGAGACAGGGTCTTGTTGTGTAGTGTAGGTGGGCCTTGAATTTGCTTATGTAGCCCAGGCTGGCCTTGAACTCTTGGCGATCCTCCTGCCTCAGCCTCCAGAGTACTGGGATTACAGGCATGTGCCACCATGCCCAGGAGGAAGGGACTTCTTACACAGCTTTGACAGTATAATGAAATAGCCACATGCAAGCAGAAATATGCTGCTTGTGTGAAAAATCCAGAACACACAAACTCATACTGGGAGAAAGCAGAGCAGAGGTTCCTAAGGGCTCGGGGGGAAAAGAAAGGTAAGGTTAGGGTTTATTGGCAAAGCTTCAGTGGGGAAGATGAAACAGTTCTGGAAATGGATCATAGGGACAGGAACCTACTCAACATCTCTGAACTGGGTACTTAAGAAGGTAGAATAGCAAATCGTACATTCTATATATTTTATCATAATAAGGATACATTAAAAAGAGAGAGACAGAGATTATCTTTTTGAGACAGGGCTTCACTATGCAGTTCAAGCTGGCCTTGAGCTCACTCTAGCCCAGGCTGACCTCAGACTCACAGTGATCCTCCTGCCTCAGCCTCCAGAGTGCTGGGATTACAGAAGCCCAAATGTCTGGTTTGAATCTGAGATCTGCCACCTGGGCCCTGGAAAGGTGCTGGCATCTGTGCCCTGGATCCCTTCTCTAAAGTGGTCCATGGGCTGGTCTGAGTCACAGGATGACTGTGAGAGTGAAGCGAATCACCAAGTGGAAACTCTCAGAACACGCCTGGAAGAGTAAGTGCTCAACAGTCACCAGCAAGTGCTACCAGTGAGCCTGCCCGTTCCAGATGTGTCCCTTCCAACCTCTCCAGACTCATCCGCACCATCTAACTCACTCAGCCCAGCAGTCACTTCCTCCAGGAAGCCCTCCCTGACATTTCCTCCCTTCCCAGAAGTCCTCTGTTCTCTTGCCACAGCCTAGACTGCTCCCGGCTTAGCGCAAGTCATTTTTTAGAGCCCTCACATGCTGCAACTGGTGGAGTCAAACTCAAACTTGCACCTGTGGCACCTGGCACACAGAGGGGCCAGCAGAGGTTGCTGTTGCCTGGGAGCCCTCGGAGGGTCTGGGGAGGATTAAATGGGAGGGGGAGAGAGCACAAGGAACAAGGGTGGGGGACCCAGGGGACCTCAGGTTCAGGGGAAATGCTGCTCCAGAAGGCTCTGTAACCTGCAGCCCTGTCCACACAGAAGGCCCCTGACGAGCCCTGCCTTGTGCCTGGGTCCCTGTCATACCTCCACGAAGAAGGCGGTGGCGGTGATCTTGTGCTTCTCATCACCGCGCTCCAGGAGTGGGATGAGCAGGTAGAGGATGCGGCACAGCTCCTGGCAGGAGTAGCTTACCATGGCCCTGAGGAGGTGGGGGAGCCCCTCAGGTTCTGCAGACCTAGAGGCCCACTGAGCGGGACTCCTGGGCCACTTGGGTCTGTGTGCCCAGGCTTTCTGTCTGGGTGGGTCTCAGAGGCCACCTGGGCTAACAGCTCCATTTTACAGATTGGGAAACTGAGGCTGAAAGAGGGAAAGTAACTTGCCTGAGGTTACCCAGCAAGTCAGTAAGAGGGACAAGCTGAGGACCTCAGCTACAAAGGCCACACCTCGAGGAAGAGGCAGGAAGAGAGGCAGCGAGGGCTGGTTTCCTGAGCGACAGGAAACAATCAGACTTTTGCCTGTTGCTCTGTTCCATCCTTGCCATTGCCCTTCCAGGCAACTGCTGCTGTTACCCCCATTTCACAGATGAGGAAACAGAGGCTGAGCGAGACTCTCAAGGTCACTCTCAAGGTACAGGAGTCTCAGGATTGAAACCAAGGAACCCCCTGCTGACCCCCAAGAGTCCGTGTGAGGCTGCAGGGAGAGCTCTGGTCTGGGCCAGCAGGTCCTTTCCAGCTCAGCACTTCCTTGTTGCGTGCCCTTACGAGCATGGCTGCCCGCTCTCTGACCTTGGCTGCTCTGGTGCAGAATGAGTATCAATCTCCACCCCGGTCACCATCAGGACAACAAAGTGAGCCCGCATCAGGCTTTCAGCGTAGGCCCGGGCTGTTCCCAATGCTTTAATCCCTCCTCCCCGCCCCTCGGAGGGTGGACGCAGACTATCCATACTTCTGAGGGGGAGTGGAGGACTGGGAAACTAGCTTTGCCCCGCTGACAAGGGGGAAGTGGCTGAGACTGAGTCGAAGACAGACGTCCCCAAGGCCGCCCTCCCCCAAGTTCTGGTTCGCACCTCTGTGTCTATGTTAGTGTGGGAATGAAATTCATACAGAGGAGGCGCTTGGTAAATAACTAAGGGCTCTGCTGTTGCCCTGATCACCACAGCTGCCCTCCCTGAGGAGAAGCCCTCACTCCCTCTGTGCTACCTGTTGCCCACCTGCCAAGGGGGGCAGTGCCCACCCCGCTGTAGAGAAGAGACGACGGAGTGAGGGGCTCATCCGTCCCCAGCCTGTGTCCCAGGTCTCACCTGGCCAGCAGTGACACTCCGAGGTGGTGGCCCTTTGCCTGCTCCATCAGCTCCCAGCCACCCTCGGCCTCCACGAACGCAGCCTCTTGTGAGCACCCCATCTTCAGCAGCAAGGTCTTCACCACTTTCACCACCCAGCTGCGAGAAAGGGCCAGCACCCCTGAGGCTGGGTCTCTGCCCCTGGCCACAGGCTTCTCCCCACTGCGCTAGTCATCATCTAGAGCTCTGCAGTGGGTCCCTGAAGGCTGGCTCTTTATAAACAATAATTCTCTTTGAGAACCAGAGAGGAAACAGAAGCGAAACTCCCCTTCCTGTGAAGACAGGTCTTTTCCCTCTCTTTTTCCCTAAACATTGTTCCTGGAGGCTCCGCAGCATCCTGCCTCTCTCCCTGCACTCCACAGCAAGCCCGGGACTGCACCCTGTGCTCCCTTGGGTACTCAGCCTCTCACCCAGCCTGTCCTTTCCTGCCTCAGGACACTGAAGGAGCAGCTCCTAAACTGGGTACCAGGAGAAGCTTTCACTCCCTGGGGAGCAACCGGGCTGGGGTTGAGGCCTCTGTGCTCCTTAAACTCCTGAAGGAGCCCCCTGGGCCCAGGGAGGAGGCTGCCATCTACTGCCACCCTCCTGTATCGCCCTCCATACACAGGCACACACCGTTTAAAGACAGAATATGGGGTTCTGATCTGAGAAACACAGGTAGAATCGGTGTACAACACCCTGTGTGTAGTCACACAAACCTAGATGGTTTAGACTACTATACATCTGTGCTCCATTGTAATCCTAGGGAACCATGGGCATACGTATGGCTAGACATCAACCAAAAGTCACTATGAGGGCTGGGCACCTCTGTAATCCCAGTACTCTTGGAGGCTGAGGCAGGAGAATAACAGATTTGAAACCAGCTTAGGCAATTGAGTGACTTAGCAAGACTCTGTCTCAAAATAAAAAATAATGAAAGGGGTCAGGGATGTAGCTCAATGCAAGAGCCCCAACTTCAATCCCCAGGACTGATAAAAAAAAAAAAAAAACACAAACATTATGAGGCACATGACTGTATATATAAACTTTTATTAAAATAAAAACTGACAGGGCTGGGGATATAGCTCAGTGGCACAGTGCCTGCCTGGCAAGCATGAGGTCCTGAGTTTGATTCCCAGTACTAAAATAAAAATAAAAATAAAAACCGACAATGTACAGAATGAAGTTTATACTGATGCAGTTCCCAGAAGCCTACATGTTTGCCTGCAGAATCCAAGGGTCTGAGTTACTTTTCCCATTCTTTGGACAAAATATCCAACACCCACAGTTGAGGGAGGCAATGTCTATTTGGCTCATGGTGTGTAGAGGTTTCAGTTCATAACTGGCTGTCTTCAAGGCAGGGTGGGATGGCAGAGGGGCATCACAGAGGAGAAACAGTCCATGGGGGGCAGAAGGCGGCAAAGCAAGGGACCTTAGCAGCTTCTTTCTGCCCCTTTTTTGCTCTATCTAGGCTACCAGGATTAGGGTGGTACCAAGACAATCAGTGTGGACTGATTTAGCAATCACACACCCTTAATCCCAGCATGACACACTCTAGATCCAGCCACCCCTGGAAAAGCCCCACCTATGACCTCATGAAACTTTAGAGGGACATCTAAACACAGGCCATAATATTCTGCCCCTGCCCCCGCCCCCCACAAAGACTCATGTATATTCCTTTATGGAAAAGGCATTTAGTCCATCTCTAAGAGTTGCCAAAGTCCTAACAGTTTTAGCATTGTTGAAAAGTCCTAGTCCTAAGTCTCTTCTGGGATAAGGTAAACTCTTAGCTGTGAGCCCCTGAATAAATAAAAAGAAAGTTAAACACTCCAACATTCCTTGGATGTGCAGCATCCAAGGCAATCTTTGGCAATATGTGAATTCCCAAGGGCTTGGGTAGCTCCACCCCTAAGTCACTTCCAGTGATGGTAGCTCCCATGGCTTCTCTTGTGGACCTGCTCTGCTCTCTCCTTGCTGTTTTCCTCAGATGATCCATGCTCCAACTTTCTGGCATCTCCATTGCGCCTTCAGCTTCACATTCATAGCTTCACACACTGCCTTTTCGAGGCACACTGCCTGACCTCCCAGGCCTTCTTCTGAAATCTGGATGGAAGCCTTCCTGATCCCACAGCTCTTGCATTCTGCATTCACCTAAAACCAGCACCACATGGATGATGCCAAGGTCTACTGCCAGCTGGAGTAGCCAGGATTCTCTCTCTTTTGCCTGTAGAGGTTGAGTGGCTGAATCACTGAGCACTCTGAGCCGAATACCAAGAAACAAATTCTCTAGGTTTCTGCCATTCTGGAACATGGTGCTCTGGGGCTCTCTTCTAAAAGCAAATTCTTTCATCTTTGCAACTCTGAGGTGGTTCTTGTGATGTCCTCAGATCATCTTTTCTGTTGTCTTCTTCTGAAATACTTGGCTTTTTCTTGCTAGTCTTTTTAGCAATCAGTTTCTCCTCTATCCCATCTTTGCATGCAGAAACTTTACTGGAGCTTCCTTTCAGGTCAAACTCACAATGTTTTGAATCATTCTGCTGGCCCTCTGCTCTTGATTCTCAGCATAAATATGGCTAAAAGCCCCCAATTGTAGCCATGCCACCACCTCAACATGAGACTGCCTTGAAATTTCTTCTGCAAGATTAATTAGTCTGCCACTCTTAATCTCAGTCTCAGGCAAAGTCTCTGGACATGAGCAAAATTCAGGTAAACTTTCTGCCGAGCCATAACACACATGTTCTGGAGTCCAACAGCCAATGCAAGCCAGGTGTGATGGTGCACACCTATAATTCTAGTACTTGGAAGGCTGAGGCAGGAGGATCACCAGGAGTTTGAGGCTAACCTGGGCTATAAAAGTAAGTTCAAGACCAGCTTGGACCCTGTCTCAAAAAGCAAATAAACAAATAAATAAATAAACCAAAGCAGTCCTTCTTCCCTGCAAAACCTCTCAAGCCTAGTCTTTTCCACAACTTTACTATCAGCATTCTGGTCTTCTGAGTTCTAACCAGAATCTCCCATCAAGTACAGCCTAAGATGTCCCAGCTCTACTTTTTCAGTGGGCATCTCCAAACCTTCCTTAACTCTTCCCTTTCCTACAGCGAGCTCCAAAAGCTCCTAAACCAGATGGTCAGATACAGTCACAGCAATGATCCCACTCTTGGTACCAAATTCTTGTTGCTTTTCTCATTGCTAAGACGAAATACCCAATGCCCACAACTTAATGGAGGAAAGGTTTATTTAATCCACAGTTCATAGAGGTGTCAGTCCGTAGTTGGCTGGCTCCAAGGCAGGGTGGCATGGCAGAGGGGCATCACAGGGGAGAAACAGTTCATGGCAGGCAGAAAGTACCAAAGTAAGCAATGGATGACCACAGCTCTTTCTGTCCCTTATATCTTATCCAGGCTACTTAGGATGGGTAGCACTCACACACTTAATCCTAGTGCCCTCCATCCTAGCATTGCACCATGAATCAACTCCAGCATTACACATTCTAGATCCAGCCACCTCTGAACATCCCCACCTATGACTGCATGAGGCTTTGGAGGGACATCTGAACACAAGCCATAACATCAGGCTGCACTAGTATGGACCATACAAGCTGCTGTCCTCATGCATCAGGACAGAGTGCTGTAGAGCTCAGTACTTCCACAGCATTTGCTCTTAAGGAAGAGTAATAATGTGTGAAAATCAGTGCTTCTCTGAAGGCCAGGCCTTCGGCATTATTCAGCCTTGGTGCTGGTGCTTTGAAACATGTGCTGCCACGAGAGTCTCTGCCAGCAGTGCCTGCCTCCTTCAAAGTTACAAAGAAGGCAGGGGGGTGGGGGTGGGTACCAGGTGCCCAGGTGGGCCAGGCACCTTCATTGCCACCCTCCTCTCCCCAGAAGGCCCAGCCCTGGCGAATAACAGAGCTGAGCAGCTCTGATTTGCCTTTAGAGAAGGAGGGTGTTTTTTCTCAACTCCAGCACTAGTGTCTTCCACTAAAGCAGAAGAGCTACCTGCGTGTGTGTTGCTGCCCCAGAGGGTGCAGCCCCATGTCAGGGGCATACTTGGCTGCGTTCTCTTGAGCAGTCCTGGGACAGGAGCTCAGAGAGACAGCTTAGGGACTCCACTCAGCTGCAGCCAGGCCAGACTCTCCCAGACCAAGTGCACAGTGGGATGAGTCTTTGTAGGCTGAAGCTTCTGAGCCCAGCACAACACCTGTCTTCTTGTCCCCTCTGCGGTTCACTCACTTCCTCAGCTGAGCTCCACATAGGGACAAAAATAAGCCTACCTCTCCCCTTCCTCCCTGCCCCACTCCTGAAGATTTGCTGTAAGAGCCTGGCCCACACGATGCTGCCGCCCTGTGAAAGGGCAGAGTGGTCCTGTAAGGAGGGCGGGGGGCAGTGGGCAGCTCTTTGGGCCCCTAATGCCCATCTGCGAGTTCACTCTCCTGGGAGGTTTTCTCTCTTAGCCAAGTGGAGCAAAGGATACCATGAGAGGCCACTGCCTGTGGTCTCACTGGGATGGGGGAGCCACTGATCCCCCAAAGAGCTGCCTCGGGGCTCAGGAATGGAAGGTTGCAAGACGAGCCCCCAGGCCGTGTCCCTGAGGCTGAGTCCAGCCAGGCTTCCTGTCCCCTCCCAGTCCTTGCCTGAGGAGTCAGGGCTGGGGTCCACAGATCTATCAATCACACTCATCACATACTCACCCTCCTCACAGAGGTTGTGACACAGGTGTGCATAGACAGACAGGCACGTGCCAGGGTTTCCTCCTCACAGTGGTGTCCAGAGTGCCCACTGTCATGCCAGAGCCACACTCCCACACTGCAGTAGCAGTGATCAGTAGCTGCTGTACCAAGTCACCACTGGGAGGCTTAAAATCACAGAAAGAAGTCTCAGTTCCAGGAGTCAGATGCCCCGTATCAGGGTGTTGGCCACACATGCGCCCTCTGGATCTCGGAGGGGTGGCCCTTCCTTGCCTGCCGCAGTTCCGTGGTTGGGGCAGTGACCTTGTCGCTCGCTGTCAGTGTCTCCAGAACCCTCCTCCCCATGTCAGAATCTCTCCTCCTCCTCTCAGAAGAGCACTCGGTGTTGGACGCAGGGCCCAGGTTAACCAGGCTCAGCTCCTCTGGAGAGCTCCAGTCCAGTGATATCTGCAGAGACCTTTCCTCCAAATAAGCCCAAGGCCACAGGGCACAGCGTCTTTTGGGGGTGCTGTTCAAGCTCCCTCTAGCTGCTCCTGCAGTCCTGGCTGGTCAGCGTCCTCCCGCTGGAGGCCACGCCCTTCCCCATCCAGGAGACACTTCCTCTCCTTGCTCCAAGTTCTTCTACTGTGACACCCCCTTGTCTTCCTCCTGTCCCCCCAGAGCTCCCATCTTTCCACGCAGCCCCCACGAAGGCATGGGGAATTAAAATTGGGATGGGGCATCACAGACGGCAGGCAGTGTGACCCTGTTTGGCCCTCACAAGGCCTCTATGGGGCAAAAACCATGCACTCATTTCATAGGCAAGGATATCACCACCGAGAAGCTCAATCCATTTACCCAAAGAACAAAGCAGCAGCTGGGGACTCACATCTGAGGCCTTCTGACTTCAAGCCCAGCCACACACAGCCCATCCTCTGCCCCTGCCTCTGTGCCTAAGCCTAATGCGCCTCAGAAGTAAAACAAAAAGACTCGTCAATTTGGCTGCATAAAAGCTTAAATTTCTGAATAGCAAGAGACCCTAAAATATTGGAGGTTAAGTGACAAACCGGAATGCCAATGACAAAGAGTTAGTTTCCTTAATGTATAAACAGCTTTTACAAATTAATAAGAAAAGAATTCCCAAAGTCCTATGTGAAACTGGCCAGGGGATAAGAATAGTGTATTCACAGAAGTGGGTTACACAAATGATGTTTAAACCTCAACCTCACTTAAGTAAGAACGCTGCAGACCAAAACTAGGCCAAAATTCCTTTTAAAAAAAAACTTTCACAGGGCTGGGGATTTAGCTCAGCGGCAAAAGCACCTGCCTGGCAAGTGCAAGGTTGTGAGTTCAGTTCCCGGTACCGGAGAAAAACCAAAAAAAATAAATAAATAAAATAAATAAAAAAACTTTCACAACTTTCAGACCGGCGAAGATAAAGATGTTTTATAATTCCCTGTGATGGGGGTGCAGTGCACACTGTTGGTGTACAGGCTGGGTGTGGAGGAGTTACGCTCTGTTTTACCATCCCACACCCGCGTATTCCTGTTCCACCTCAGCGTTCAGATGCAGAAGGGCTCAGGTGGCACATTCCACTTCCGGCGTTTATTCTGCACACACAATCGACAGTGCGGGCAACGACGCATAAGCAAGTGCACACCCTGTACCCCGTCTGTGACAGCAGAAGGCAGAAAAGCAGCCGCAGCAGGAGGAGCCTGGCTGCACATTACTGTACATGGGAATTCCACACACAGGGCTGCCCGCGGCTGTTGGAAAGAACGAGGCTGCTCCTCGGGCGCTGGTCTCTGAGGTACAGTGTGTGACAGGTGTGCCCCTGTGTGCCCCTGCGAGGCCTGCAGCCCCTGCTGTAAAAGCACAACGGAAACAATGTGTTCGACCCTGCACAGCGCCCCCGGAAGGGCAGGAAAGAACCTGCTTGTCTTTGAGGAAGGGAACAAGAGTAGGACAGGAAGGGAGACGCACTTTAACGTCTTTTGAGTTTTTACCCATGTGCATATGTGGCCTATTCCAGCCAATAATTAATTAAAAATAAAATGGATGGGAAAGGAGGGTGGGCTTTTGGCCCCGAGTCCTTGGGGGAGCCTGAGTTTTTCAAGCCGTCCTGTGCTAAGTACAATAGAGGACACAGGAGCAGGTGCTTGACAGTAGCTACTGAATGAAGCACGGACTCTAACAAAAGTCCCCTTCTGTTTCCTCTTCTGACCCCAGAGCTCATCTCTACTGCCCAGAAGACTGCTGCAGGGGCCTTGCTGGGTGGCACCCCCACCCCACTGCCAGCGAGCAGGGCCCGGAGGGACGGCAGAGCTTACCGCACAGGCCTGAAGGCGGGAGGCTGCACGTGGTCCTTGGCGTCCTGGCCAGGAACCCTGTGGCCAGGCAGCTTAAGGCCGATGTGGTAGTGGACCTGAATGAGCAGGGCCAGGAGCAGCTGGGGGTAGATGCGCCTCACCTGGCCTGCGCAGCTGTTGACAGACAGGAGCTCGCACAGGCCGCAGGCTGCCTAGGGGCAGAGAGGAGGCCAGTGGCTGACCTGACTCACCTTCCCAGCATGCCTGGCTGAGGCCCGCTCCTCAGCTTGTGCAGGGCTGGACCTGGGTCTTTGCTCTTCTCTGGCCAGCCTGAGAAAGCCTGCATCCTACCCGCTACCTCCAGGCCCTGCCCCACAACACTAGAGCCCCAGTCCTAGCCCAGGAATAACGACGGCTGGCCTCTTAGCTTTGCCCAAAGCTTGGGCAACTTTGGCGGGATCACGGTGAGGGGACCCTTCCCCCTGCTGAGGTGCACAGGGGGTGATCCCACTCTGCAGGTGAAAGACGGGCTCTGAAGGGTGCAGCAAGTGCCAAGGCCCCCAGCCCCTCAGGGCAGATGCTGGCTCTTCCTCACCCACAGTACAGGCACACAGAATGGGAGGAGGTCTGTGCCAGAGTGGCTCTTCCTTCTGTCCTAGTTAGGGTGGATACCAGAGCCAAGCACCAGGAAGCACAAACCACTCCACATGAATGAAGGAGTCCCCCACCCTTTGAGGTAGATACTATGGGTATTATTCTGTGTGTGTGTGTGTGTGTGTGTGTGTGTGTGTGTGTGTATGTGTGTGTGTGTGTGTGTGTGTGTGTGTGTGTGTGTATGTGTGTGACAGAGAGAAAGAGAGAGACTGGGAATTCAACTCAAGGCCTTCACTCTGAGCT